CGTATTACTAGAATTAGCGCATCATTGCATAGTACTGTCATGCACGTACACATCCATTGTTTCAAGCTTTATGACAAAAACCAAAATTTTTTTGTTGATAGAAAAAACCCCGTAACCAAAGGGTTAAATAGACAATTTTTTTTGCTTAACATTAAGATGTATGAAGATCATCGAAATGACAGATTATTTTCTTGCACTTTTTTTGCAATGATTTGCAGAAATGATTGATTTTAAAATGATTTCGTTCTATATAGTATTGAAGAAAAAAGACGTTTCGATGTCTCCTCTTTCGACTGGTGAAAACTACAGCTCTATTGTTCTTTCTGTTCTTGAGTTATTACAAAAACATCCAGGGTCATTATTTCTTTTAACACGCAGTAGTGTCATGTATCCATGCTAAAAAACAAAATATTGGACTAAAAAGAATTATTTCTTCATCAAAAAATAAATTAAAATCACATTATTTTTTACTCGATTATAATCTGATTTTTATAAATGGATAATATTCTTTTGAAATGATGAAACAAAGACATGCACACAAGCACCTTGGCATATCCTCAGCGTCGAGCGAAAAAATTACTTTGTGGCAGTCTCTGATCGATGAATAGCTGTTCAAGTTCATCGATTATCTTGGCGTACTAAATGAATGCGTCACAACGAATGCCTATCGAAGAAAGTTCATCAAAAGTGATGTCTACGCAAACATCGCACATGAGAAAAAAAGAAAGTCACATTTGTTTCTTGCTTTTACATAGGGCGTTCAAAAACTTCCGAGAATGCTAGTCTAATATTTTATATGTTGAATATTAGACTAGCATTCTCGGAAGTTTTTGAATGTCCTACGTCAATACTAGTTCACAACAATTGATTACTTAGCAGATTGAGTTCTTGTAATTCATATGCTTTCCATAGTTGTCATTTCTTTGCTTACATCCACGTATTTCTCATGACTCTAAATCATCATACATCGAGAAACAGCACGTTTTTGTTTCAATATTTTCAGCATCTTCTAATGTTAGCCAGGCCAGTTCACAAACCGAATTCTTGTAAAACGGTCATGCTTCGGCCCCAGACAGCGCAATTGTGGGATGAAGAAGAATATCGACTATGGTCTTGGTGCTAGACAAGATTTCGGTATAGACCCACAAGCACATCACCACATTCGCATTCGTACCAACAACCTACACCCACACCCCTTCTTTTGTTTTCACTGCCATCGAGACAGTCAACACTGAAGTAGCTGTTTCGCGTAAATGTCAGTAATGATATCGATATTCATCATCAGCACATGTTGTCATCTTTAATATTTCACACCAATTGTTCATCTTCACCATTCTTACAATCAACTTTGTCACTATAGAGTTGTCGCCAGTCAAGACATAAAGACCATAGTTCGCAATGACAATCAACTAAAAATCGATAACATGTGGTAATACTTACGTTGGGCTTCATACAGAAAGGACTATTCACAGAGGCTTCAACAATTTCATTAAATGGCAAAGATGAATTATAGACAAATCGATATTGACATTTCGAGCCAAACCATGGTGATGAACAATTATAGAATAATTCTAAACTTTGATTATTCATTTCATAATCGTTCAGCAAGATCGATGGGTGTTGACCAATTAAGAAGTTGTTCACTTGTTACACCTTGTTTGCTATATTTTCATTCAATATATTAGATATTTCTTTTTCAGCATTATCAGGTCGTCGACAATAGGGAGTCAACTGAATGTTCATAATATAAGATGAATGTTCATTCAATCAACCTTCGATGAGTTGAGTGTACAGACAATCAAATGTTGGATATGAACTCAGACCAATATCGGAATAATATAATGAATATTGATTATGCGCACTGCATTATGCAAAGAAAGAAATATCATCACATGCTTAATCAGCATTCTTTCACGATCTGAAGGTAATAATTATTAGCACTATTGAACATCGAGAGCACTTTGATCAACAAAAAAACTCTTTTTATTTTGCGGAAGTACAAACTGAAAGAAGACATATTGTGTTCCAGCTCGTTTTCTGATATTACAAAGCATATTTGATTCTTGTTTCAATAAAAGCAAACTCACGATTCATAAATAAAAACAGTAATTGACTTTTTTCCGTTGGATAGCTATCTAATAATAAAAGCGATAAACAAAAATGTACCACATGTGAAAGTTAGTTTTTTATCATTCTCTTTTTTTCTAATAAAAGAATTATTGAGTATTGAAGAAGAAAGTCACTTATAAAGATCGAATCAAACTATATTTCACTGCTTCGAGTTTGGTTCAGGTCGGTTCGCTTCATCTTTTCCTTTGAGAAATGAGTTCAGATTCGGTTCGATTCGAGTAACACTAGTTGCTCCTAATCAAAAGCAGGCGATGGGTTAGAATTTTCTTCTCAGACGATTCGGGTGTTGCATTACAGTTGATGTTGAGTTGAATTGATAGTGTTTAATACACTTGTAGAATAAAATAAAGTTTCCAATAGTAATACTTCGATACCAGCAGTTATTTAGTTTTGATCAATAATCTTATACGTATGATCCGATATTTGAGTTTCCGAGATATCCACCTGGGTTTTCGCAAGCTTCTTCCAATTTATTTTGGTGCAAATCTCCGAGGTGTAATAGGTATGCGAAGTACGCGAGGTATATGAGTTAATGGAAGTGATAGTATATTATTCCTTATACGAGAAGCCAGGAAACCAAATGGATTGACCGGAATAAGATGTATTACCGCAACTCAAATCAGAGTTCAGACAAAAAAGCTCCTGTTCGCAAACCATACCAGTTTTGATCCATGAGATATCGAGTGATCACATAATACATATACAAGCCAGCTCTCTCGAAGTGAGTGCTGCGGAAAGACTCATCCCACATTCCCTCGATATGGACGTCAACAAAGGAGTTACATCACAGCTCTCTCGACGTGGGTACCGCGAAAGACGGACACACACGATAACACGTGCACAGAGTATTGTGCCGGTTGTAGAGGCCAGAAAGATAAGAACATGAAGGGTGTGGGTGTGGAGTTTTTATATTTTCTTCTGGCACACTAACGCCTACCTCCAACCCACACCCACACCCAAAGATAATTGATTGTCAGAGAAACGATCTATCTTATTTTCTGCATTTCGAACAGAAATTGTTTTTTCTTTTACTTTTTTTTTCTGGCACTATTTTTTTGTTAGAACGTAATCAGTGTATACTTTTTTGTGTTGGTTATATGATGACTGGCAAATCAATACATTATCAGCCATAATTGTTAATATCTATTATAAAGTCAATTATCAGCAGCTAAAAATCAAAGCTGCGCCATTTAAAACATTAAAAAAAATGTATTCCATCCATTTAAATTTTAAGAAGAGGCTTCAGAATGTTCTAGAATAGTCTAAGCCTTGTTGTTAATGTCGACCAATATCCTTTTCCATTGCTACGGAGCTGTATAAAAAGCATTTTATGCTTGTTATCATCGGTTACTAGGAGACCATGCATACTGAATCATTTATGAGCTCGGTTGCTATAAGGTCTGTAATAAGTGAAGAGGATCACAAAATCTCGGCTTAATATTTTCACCATTTTGTTCGAAAATATATATAAGTGTCACAAAAATTAGCAGAACTCATTTTATATAATGGAGTAGATCATTCAATATACTATTTGTGATAAATTAGTTTTATCTCTAATTTATCTTTGAACATAAATTTTGAATGACAATACAATTCTTATCAAAAAAAAGTTTACTTCACAAAGAATATGAATATTTATATCCGAAATGAGATATTTTTTTGAAAATATTCGTTATATTTGAAAGGTTTAAATATAAAATTTTGGATAAAATTATCAGAATGAAAGGAAATGATAAAATTTCGAATAAGAATAAATTTGTATGTCATTGGATTAACTAAAAAAACTATAACAATCGATAATACGATATAATCAATACGAAAGATGATTAGTTTATTTCTTAAGACTTGTATTTATGTTTAGTCGAAACTACTTTAACTGATCTATTTAAAAATCAAATTTTATCACTTATTATTCATATTAGAAAAGATAACAAACAAGCTTTTAGAGAAGTTGTAAATACATTTATATTTACAAATATTTTCGCTATGTTCACCAACCTACAATATCTAAACTTCTGTCAATCTTCAAATTGATATCCACAGTTATCGTTTGATATTTCACCTCTAAGTGTTATCTCTTCAACTCTCTTAGAACTACATGTCACTGTAAAAGATTTCATCGATTGTCTTTATTTGCTTGATGGACGTTTCAATCAACTTCATACACTTCATGTTAATATTGCTTTCATTTGCTCTTCACAACTAACAATCAATAATACGGTATATTATTTTGATCTATATCTACTTTATCCAAATGAAATGGAATTTTGTTCTCTTTTCTAGGAAAATCTGCCTAATTTAAAATGCTTTTCGCTATATTGTGATCAAAACACGGGTGTTTATCATGAACTAATTGTCCCACTTCTACATCGAATGTTGAATTTAGAAAAACTTAGTTTATGTCTTATAGTTCATGGCAAGAACACATTTGTTGATGGTAATGATTTGAAAAAAAATATTATCAATAATATGTCACGATTAAACAAATTTCTTTTTAACATTTGTTCAACTATTCGTATTCATAATCAAATTAATTTACCATCGAAAGAAGATATTCAGTATACATTCAAAGATTTTCAAAATAATCATATTATTTCTTGTGTTGATCATTTTTTTGAGGCTGAACGAAGTCAATGTCATATTTATTCATATCCATATACACTGAATTATTACGAGAACATAACGAATAATTTTCCAGGTGGATTCTTTAAATTTGTTTCTGTAATATCATTATTTGATGAACGACCTTTTGAACATGAATTTTTTCTTCGAATTGCTCAATCATTTCCATTTATGAAAAAATTAACTTTAATTAACATGAAACCTCAATATGGTAAACGAAATAAAAAATCAGAAGATGACAATCAAGATTTATCAATCATTGAATATCTTCATCTTACTATGCTTGATCTTATTGAAGCTCATGAAGATTATATTGAACAATTTCTAATTGATACGAAAACGTGTTTGGCGAATAATGTTTTTCTTGCTGTGCTGTATCAACCACTGAGAAGAGTAACAGAAAAGTCTATAAAAAATGCAACACGAATCAATTGTGAAAAGTTGCGTCTTTTAGGTGTACAGGGTAAATATAGAACTCCTAAATATGTAAAACAATATTTTCCTCATACAAAAATATTATGATTATTTTGAATGATTATTTAACAGCCATTCCACATAAGCCACGACCAGGGGCTACAGCCACTGCTCAATCGAGTTTCTCTAAACTTGATTTTCATTACGTAGACCAAAAGAGAAATTAATTCTGAGTTTTTTGCCACCAACCGCAGCTCTACAACACAAACCGTTGCTGAGATATTCAATTTTTAAACACAACATCGATTTTTTTCGTGGTGATTTAGGATTGATTAGTTTTTAATAATGAGTGTGCCATTTTCGAATCGCTCAACGTAGAGACACGAAATTTTCAGCACAAGTACAAATTTCATCAGGCTATAAAACAGCAAAAGCCCCAGCTCTGGATGACACTTTGTTCTCAAACTATAGATGTCGCTAGTAGTAGAACTTCACCATTCATTATCTCGTGCGTAATCCACTCTAGGTGAAAATAAGCTACACTCACACGCTACACACAATATTGTGTGTAGCTTATCTTTTTTTATTTACACCAATCAGATTGCATTCCGTATTCTACCGATTTGTTTATGTTAGTCATCTCTTTCAATTTATGGAGTCGCCGATGTTTTACTTTTTAATATGTAAATATATTGTCTCTAAAAAGAGTTCGAGTTTTTTCAACTAAGTTTCAGATGAAAGAATGATTTTTCTTGCCTTTTTTTGCTGCACTTTTAGAGAAGAATTCCAGTGAAATATGCGGAATAGTTTTAATTTGATATTTTAATAGAAATTCTGAGCAAATAATTATAAAAAATAGTGTTCTGAGTGATGGGTGCACCAAGCAAAATCTAAGGGAGTGTGCCACGCACCTCTTTTGGTTTGCATGCTGTTTTGAACTCTACTCGAAAAAGTAGAATGCGCCCACTGTACTCTCGTATAACACTTATTACTTTGTTTCGTATGGATAGTTGCATATTTACAATAAATTTTCTTATTTATTATGTTCTTTGATTCAATCGAATTGTCTTATTGTGCTTATTTCAGATAATGAACAAAGAACAGTCATTCTGATACTCAGACGACTGATTTTTAAAAGTTTTGAATTCAATGAACTAGATCCTCATTCGATCAATCAAAAGAAAATTCAAATAATAGTAAATTTAGTCTTCTCGCACTTTTTGTTTGATATGGCTACTGAGTTCATTCTCTCAAAAAGAAGCATGAAAGAAGCTTTCAAATTTAGCTGATCATGTTAGATTAATGTATTTTTAAGTTATGGGCTTCGATCATCTTTAATTTTCGGAGATTTCTGATCTGTTTTTAAATTGAAAATCTGTTTTGCGTCTTGATCTGTTGTGCTTCATTAGATCATACTTTTTTTCAAAAACTATGTTCTACAGATATCAAATAAGGGAATGATAATCGATTTTTGTATGATTCAATATTCTGAAGACGATGAAGATATTCTCATGTCAAAAATAATTGAAAATAAATTTGTCAATAACTTTGAAAAAAATGATTATATTTATTTAACATAAAACCTCAAGAGGGGCAAAACTGCAGTTATCAATGTTATTTTTGTTGTATGTGACAATGGCAGGCACTCAAAATAACATAAAATCAGCTCTACCATTATAGTCATTTAATATTAACTAGCAGATCATTTTTTCAATAGTACATCAAGCAATAGCTCAAGTTGTAAGAATAATATAATTATTTGAACTGAATTTAAAATTGGAACAGACATAAACTAATCCATGAAAGAAAACGAAAAGAATCATGCATCCAATATAAATACATGACCTTGGTCGGCATTTAAATCTATAAATCGCTGTATAAGAACCTACATGTAGTCTAATAATCAACTAAAAAGAACAGAATGTATCAGATTCGTAAGCACTCGTGATGATTGGAATGTTCATTTAAATCAATGAAGTTTATGTGTGCCAAAACATGGTTTTTTGCAACAAAACTTTGTATATACAAAAAATGGTCTTGTCTTAATTCATGAAATCTGGAGCTGTTTCTTTTGCTTGTCTTAATTCTGAATTGGGTATCATTCAATGCAGTTTTGTGTCTATTTGAAAACTCAACGAAAACAGTAGACGGTTGACTAACAATTTCATATATGTTACTGGAGAAAAATAAAAAATATTGTGTTGTATTGGTATTATATAATGTTGTTCTGTTACTGGATAGGATTGAGTAGTACGGAACGATGAGATAAGACAGACAGTTATAAAATATATCTTATTTCCTTTATTTTTTCATATATCTATGAGAAGAAAACTAATCGATTTCGATAGCACAAATTTGAGTCAGTTTTTCTTGGAATATTTGTAGCTAAGTATTTTTTCTAACATGACTTAATTAGTATTGTATCAGAAGAATTATTTCGGCAAACTCTTTCATGATAAATAACAAATGTTTCCCTTTTCAAAATGTTCAAATGAAAGTTTAGATAATGTCATTTATTTTAGCGTTTTGAATCGATTGAAACATTTGCTTCATATTGAATTGATTGTTTAAATATAAAAGGCACGTGATCGTTAAGACGTTTTTTTTTTGTTGCTTATAACAACAGACACATGAGATAGATATATATGCGTCGTATATCAGTAACACATTGCTAATGTATATTTATCCACTATAACTTTCAATGTAGTATGTTAGACGTGATGTAAGTGTTAAACATAAGCGAATTCTATTCACATATATCTTTCAATGTGGTGAGTGTTGTAAAATTAGTTAAAATGTTTATTCTATATGTCAAGTAAAGTAGATAGTATAGATTTTGTCAATAGTTGTGCATTAAAGATGAAATCTTGATTTTTCTCTGATCAATATTGATGCTCGTTTAACACGATAAAGTTGACAGAAACTAATCGAACAGTAGATATCAACTCATTAAAAGCCTGAGATGGTAGTGTATTTGTTGTGATTTCAATGACTACATCAGAGCTAGTCGAGTACACAATATAAAAACATATTGAATGATCAGTAGACAACAAAGAATAAGTATCTATTTTTCTTAAAATCGTAGTTGAATCTGGCATGCCACACTGTGCTGACTTCACAAGGAATCCAAATATGAGATAGAGTTTTAATATAGGTTTTGATTGAGTGTACGAAATTCTCAAAAAATTAATCAAACTATGCAATAAAAAATATCTTATAAGAATTCATCTTCTTAATCATGAAAGTGTTTCGGAACCATCTTAACATAAATAAAAGTTTTTAAAATTTTTAAAATTTAAGTAATTTTAATTAAAATTTCACAAAGGTTGAATATTTTCTTCTATCTATTGCATAAAATTCTGACAAGCTACATGAATGTATTCTCATTTCTATGGTATGACAATCTAACAGGCTTATCAGAGTAGTTCCATACAAAAAAATTTGTTGATACTACCAAGAACGTTTCATTCATCGAGTTATTTAAAGAAAATCAATCTCTTTTATTGTAAATCGAATATATTGTTACTTTTTTCAATTAGACTTTATGGGTATCGATTGATATTCGAATCACTGTTAACTTTTCCGAAGAAATATAATAATCATATGATTTATTCTTTTATCGGTAGTCGAATAAATTTTAGATGCTATACCAATCAGTAACATCTATCTGAAAAAAGTTTCGGTCATTTTTAGAGTGTATTTTTGTGAAGAATTCACTTTGTAATGTATCAATGATGGTATAGAGATCGATTTATACTACATGGAATATTTAAAAAATTTGTCTATTGACAAAATTTACATTTTTATAGGAAATACTCATTGAATACGAATATACTACTGTGCTGCTAAATGTCACGTGAAGATAGCTTAATGAATTGGATCTTGAATTGAGCAATAAGTTCGTTACTTTTCTAGATATTATGTAACTTAAAAAGCCTCAAAATGTTTAGATTCAACAAAGGAAATATCTTTGATTCACACACTAACAACATATGAAATATATCTAAGTGTAGAGAAATTGACCATATTCACGGATGGCATTTTTTTGAATACTGTTCATTAACGCATTTTCAACATCTATTGAGGAAGATAAAATGAGTGTTACTGATTGTATATACTAACGATTTGAATGTATTTACCTCGGATATTCCATATTGATAAAGAAAATGTAATTCAATATTTTTTAGATAATATAAATATGGATGTACATTCAACACATTGCAGTCCAAAGTCAACGACTAGAGACAATACTGCTATTACAGACGCCAATATTCAAGAAATCGAAAATATTTTTTTAAATGTCACACGAACTCCAACCGAGTACGAGTTACGCCTCAAGAAAACTTGTCAACAACTTTTGCAGCACCCATGTAGTGTAATCTCAACATTGTCTCTAGTAAAGAAGATTGACAGAGATGCTGCAAATTGTCTCGTAGATGACTGTTTATTGCTTTTTACCGATAATTTATTTGAAGCTCATAGTCAACTGGATCCTGAGGGCTATATTAAATATATCCCAAATAGTATTGATCTAACATTCATCAACCGTCTGCTTCATTATAAAGTAGATCCAACATTATATTTTCAAGACATAAATATTCCAGAACTCTGGAAATCTTATCTATCTATTAATGGCACTCTCATTTTACGTACCATGGATTTCTATCGAAAAATTCTCGATTCAACAGCGTCAAATGAATCATCTGTCAATTTACAATATAAGAATCTTAAAAATAATGATCAAAATGGAAATTTATCGTTAACTTTACATGCTCAGTCATTCGATGAACAATCACCAAATAGTAAGTCTTTTTCACAATATTCCATAGCTCATTTTTAGCAAATTGAAAGTTCAAACGATTATTCTACTAATCGTTCCTTGTTCGAAAATGATGAAATTGTTTCTGAACACATCATATGTTGGTGATATCCACCTAGATGATTCTGTTCCTCTTTTTTGACGAAATACTCATTGGAAATATGTACAACAAAGAATTCGAATAATTTGTCTAGTGAAAATAAAAATTTGAATTTTGACGGAGATCATATTGAACAAAATAAGATAATTAATTTTATCTAGGGTAATTTAAAACTTGACTGAATTTTGATTTTTGATCACCACATATATCATATATATAATTTATTTTCAGTGAATCGATTTGATCAGAAACAACAATCTTCGATTGCACCATCATCATGCAGTGTAGAACGTGTAAGCTTTGCACGTGAGTATGAATGATAGTATATTACTCAATGTCGGTATCGTTTTGTTTTCCAATAACTGTAATTTAGACAATGAAAATCTTCATTTCCAGAATTCTATTTACAAATCTAATATGTCTTCAGGCAATGCCAAGATAAACTTTTATGATTCAAAACAAAGTGAGGAGAATCTAAAACTAATTCATTAATTCATTCATCTTTTTCTTCTATTTAGGAATGATCAGTAGTATTGATGAATGTAACACTGATATCCGTGACAAAACACCGTCAAAAAAACCACTTGATCCACAAAAGAATAATGATTACCTTCTGATACAATCTGATTCTACTAATTTTTCCACTAATAAGCCAACAATGAATTGGAATCTGTTACGAAAACGAATAATTGGTTTAAAAAATATTGACAATAAAATGTGTTACATTAATGCAGCTTTACAGTGCTTTGCAAATACACCTCCTCTGATCGAATGGTTATGTGACCGATTTAATGAATTAAATACATGTGAGTAGCATCCTCTAGTGAATAATTTACAATATATATCAGACTCAGGTTTAAAAAACAATAGAATATCTAATAAAATATCATTTTCATGAAATTTCATTGTTTTATATCTTACTATATGTATTGTTATTTTCTCAAGATCTTTTGCAACCATAAAATGAAAGTCATTAGAACTATTCACAGAATAGAATCTCAGAAGAAAATATTTAATAGGATGAATTTTGTTGAGTTAAAATAATTTTCATACATGTTTATTTCAGGCGAGTTATCCAAACAAAACAAATTTTGTTCTATTTGCGAATTGACAAAAATCATTGCTTCAATTTATCCATCATCAACAAAAAAATCTGTTCAGTCAGATATCTTTATTATACCATCGGCTGACTGTATTAGAACTCATATACATCTTATATCACCTGTATTTACTATTGGACATCAAGAAGATGTCAGTGAATTTATTATTAGTTTTTTACAAAATATGTCTTGTTGTTTACCATCACATTTGTCTATATCATCGATTTCATCTACAGAAACAACTATTGTTGATCAAATATTCAATATTAAACTTCTATCATCTGGAGAATGTTCGTCGTGCTTATATACATTTAAAAAGGAAGAAATTACTAATATGCTATTGATTGAAATAGACAATATGCATCATTTAACTGATGCACTTGTACATTTTGTTGGTCAGGAAGCTGTTCGTTCATTTTTTTGCAGCAACTGTCATAAATCTGTGATACTTAATAAACGTATTACAATCAGTGAATTATCACCAATCTTAATTATCAATTTCAAACGATGCAAAATGGCTTTTGATTCAACAGAAAAGCTTTTGCATCAAGTAAATTACAATGAATTTTTAGATGTTTCACCCTATATGACATCTCATTTATCGAATTCAAATGATAAAGAGAACAAAAATGCACCAAATAATGTTCTCTACAAATTATACGCTGTTATTAATCATGGTGGTGATGATCTTGGCAGTGGTCATTATTACTCATATATTAGATCACGAGATGACCTTTGGTTTCTTGTTGATGATGCACATTTTCGAAACGTGCCTTCAAATGAAGTTTTTAACCATTCCGACACTTTAATACTATTTTATGCTCATACATTAAATATATCTACAATTAGGGATACATCACTACAAATACCACAACCATTAATGTCTTCAGTAATACAAAACAATTTTATTTCACATTCTTCTATTTCAACTGCATCTGTATGAAGATAATTCATATTAAATAGATGAATATAATATAATCTCATTTAGATTCTAGCTAATTCAACATCTATATGTGAATCAACCATATGTTTTAATGAGCAACTACCGAAGAATAAATCTTTATTCAATATGATGTCTACGACATCACCTGATAATAGTTTGTTTCTTTTTAGTTTAATCTTCTAATTTTTCCAATTATTTCATTGTAGTTTCATCCAAAAACATTACTGAATCGAATTTGGAAAATACTCATTCAATAATTAGTTCACGAAAAAGTATCATAGTAAATAATGGACCTTTTGCTGGGCAAACAGAGAGCACTATAATAATTGGTAATCAAAATTCAAACCATCAAATTGAAAAGAAGATAAAAACTGATCATATATCTAATAATCGTATGTATAATAACCTAATACTATAGGCTTGTTTAAGTATATTTTCCATTTTTCTTTTACTTAAGATACAAAATGTCGATCAATGTTTTCTGAAAAACTTTCGTCTCTAAAACGTAAAACTACTGATGATTCAATTGATGAGATATCTGATGGTGAAGAAAAAAGAAAAAGTTAGTCAAAATAATTTAATATGATGTAGATTTTTATAATACTAATTGTGTTAAAATGGAGATAGAATAAATTTTTTAAAATCGATTATTAACTAGCTTCACTTATTCAGTTAGAAACGTGTTTGATTTCTGTAAATATTGTATGATTGCATTTTGATATTGGATAATGTCTTCTTCAGACAGTAGTTAAAGTACTATTATTATGTTTATGTATTTTTTTTTCTATACGTAAATCATATAATTTTTGTCAAATTAACGAAAGAACGCAAGCAGTGGAAAAGAAAAGAATAACTACTCTGCTCGTTTCTTCTTTTTCCGTACTTTTGTCCGTTTGACAAAGATCATATGGTTTCCATGTAAAAAAAATAAACTAAACAATAGAATTTGAACGATTGTGTAAAAAGAGATGTTCTTCAACATCAAATTTTAATCATATGATACAATTAAAATAAGGAAAACAATTTTATTAATATTCATAAACATTGATGACCTTTCTAAAGCTAAAATATTAAACGTATTTGATTTGTACATTAATATTTTACGGATAAATATATGATAACAACATATAATCTGGCCTCTTTCTACATAGAAAATGTTTTGTGAATGATTCCTTGATAACGGCTTATAAGCATTACTAAAAGTTTCTTTGATTTAGTCGACTTATGTGCAAAATATTCACTCATCCTGGATTCTAAGAAGTTTTTTTTAATTTTTTATAGAAAACACTCAAGTGTTTGATGCGTTATTCTTTCTCTATACACAAATGATAAAATAAATTGAAGTTAAGAAAAACGTTGATTATTATTATACATATTTTATAATTTAATTAATTTTAATATACATTTTTAAAACGCTAATATATAAAATATATTTATCATGGTTTTCGTTTGTGTGATTAACCTTTGTAGAAGATATAATTTGTTTAGGACTTTGTAGGAGACACGTTATAATTTTTCTTTCTAATCAATACTGTTATCAAAACTATTACTGTATTTTAGAAGCCTGTAAAACATTAGCATCGGTGGCATCAGGTGTACCAATTGATGAAATATTTGAAGATACACTTCCTTACAAGCACAAGTTTTATTTAAATGAAACTGAACTTGCCAAAATGAATCAATTTCGACAACAAGAAATAAAAAAAGAACTTGATCGTAAAATGCAAAGTCTAGGATTAGCATCTGATCCATCACTTTTACGAAAAAATACTTCAAAAATTGAAAATTGGTCTACTTTTATTAACAATATCAATGTAAATGAATCTTATATAACAGAAAAAAAAATTGAAACATACAAGAAAGTTAATATTGAATATTTGAATTTACTTTTGCCTCATCTAAAGCATTACAATGCAGCTTGTGGTTTATGCATTCGATCACGTTACTTTGGAAAGAATGCAACGAGAGGAACTTCTCTACTTGTAAGATGTATTTTGAAATGTAATGGTAGTATTTGTAAATTTAAATGTACTGTACACATCATGAATAATGGCAATTGTTTTATAACTGCAATAAATCGAAAAATTTCTCATCATATACGTGAAAAAATAGGTCGTCCGATTCGTGGATGTAGACGACAAGCCATTATTGAAAAATTTAAAGCAGGCGCTTCAGTTTATCGATTACACGCTCAATATGATAAAGAACGAACCAAGAATGAAAGAAAAGGTTTTAACTACGATCGCACAGGAAAGTCACGAAAAATATTCAAAAAAATTAAAGCTGAAGCAACTGCTGAATCCTTACTTGCACCAAATGTTACATCAGGTATTCTACAACTTCATGATCAATTACTTGATCAAATTAATAATGATGGAATAATCAAAGGTGCAATACAACTTGTTCAACTTCGGCCATTTTGTATTGTGGCATTTACTGAAGCTTCATTACGTTTGTATGATGTTATCGTCAGTAAACCAGACACAGTTTTATCCTGGGACGCCACTGGTGGTGTAATAAAAAATACAACCTCAAGACAGTGTCTTTACTACGAATTAACAGTATCACATCCCAATATCGTAAATGAAGACAGTTTAATTCCATTAACTTTCATGTTGTCAGAATCTCAATCACTCCATACTGTTATTAATTGGTTAAAAACATTCAAAGAATGTTATAAAAAAGTACGTTTAACTTCCTTGCTCTACTAGATCGATTTATAAATACTATTTTCAATGATATGTATTGCTTAGGTCTCATATGAAATAGATTAGAACGAAAAAATAACTGAAGGATCTAGACATTCATGGCATGCAGTTTCTAGATAGTAATTGGTGTGAAGAATATTCTTTCATACAATATTATGTATAAGGACTCATATTTTTAACAGCCAGTATCATTACTTGCTTTCTTCATTTGTCTTATATAATTTAATTGGGAAAAAAGCAATAATAATATCTTTCATATTTTGCAGTGAATTGACTTACTTGCATGATGACACAGCTGATTATCATTCAATTTACTAGACTTTCTTTATTCTAATCTTACATAGTACTTTTTTTTTGAAATGATGCTTGAAAGAGCGATGCTGAAAATCTTACTTCTCAAACTAAGCTACCATCATTGAGAACTTGATGAACATAGACACTCTTTCTATAACATATTAAATTGAATCATACTTATATACATAAACAATACAAAACTCTTATATTTCAGGTATTCCCTCACAAGAAAGATTCATTTCCTAGACCAGCAATGATTTTATCCGATCGTGCTCAAATTTTCCTTCAAGCTGGTCTTTATATATTCAACGAAGAAAATTATCAACAATTTCTTGCACGTGCTTATCGTATTGTCACTAATCAACCTATTAAGAATGATTTATGGAAAACCAATATTCACGCTTGTTTGTCTCATTTCATGTTGGTAAGTGAAGAAATTCTACTTTGGTTTTCATCTTATGTGTGTTGTATTTAGGATATGCGAAAACGTATTAATAAATACTTACCAGAAGGTATTCGTGAATTGGGAATGTGGTGCATAGCACTGTTAGTAAATACCAATATGTGGGTCGACATGAAAGAAAATTGGCGCTTAATCTGTGAAGTTTTTTTAAATTATTCAACAAATGAAACAGTACATTATAAACAACATTATTCAGTTCTTCTCTCTCGCATCAGCAAAATCACGAATGATCCAAATTCATCAGCAGCTATTAATCAGTCACGTAAAATTTTATCAGAATCGGTTGATCCGTTTCAATTTGATGATGATAATGAAAATTTTAATCTTGAGCACAATTCAATGGATTCCAATGAAACAATACAAAAGAAGAAAAAATTGAACAAGTTACATGCTAGACGGTCGTCAGCCGATAAATCGGTAGGAAAACAAATGATATATATTTATAATTAAGTGACAAATGTAGTTATAGTCAGAGGTATTGATCAATGAACAAACTGCTGAAAAATGTTAATTATGAACCGAGAGTATATATTGTGAAATCTGCACGATGACTTTGAAGAAATTTTCTGTAGTCTCTACTGGTACTATTTCTGAATAGAGTATTTTTTCTATTTATTAGTGCATATTTAGCGAAGACAATACAAACAATTCATCAAAGTAGAGTTGACCGAAAGAAAAATAAGATCTTACATCTGCAACTGGTACGTCTGTCATAGAGGCATTCGTATTAGGTTTTTTATCCAAACAATTATTAATTTGATGAGAAAAATACATTGGTGAGAATGGGTAAAATTAAATACCTTATGTTACTTATCGTAATATATATTAGGCAATCTGTAAATTCATAATTAAAGAGTACTTACTTTATATTTTAAAGGAAAAAGTTTGTCTCTTTTAGAATTTTTGAAGGATATTTATATTTGTGGTGACATGCTACTTTGACTTGATGATAAAGATGAATGCATTTGTGGAACGTCTGAGGATGCTACTCAGCCAGTTTAAATAACATCGATACAATTCCACTTTTCTATAAGTAGAAAAACTGTAATGTAATATTATTTCCTTTAGTATAGAAAAAAAATTCAATATACTTTAAAAAGGTTACTGTAACATGAAGAAATGCTTGATGTTCTACATATATATGTACCATAGCACTAATCAACGCAGAAGCTAAATGAATGATTATACTTTTTTCAAAGTCTTCTTAAATCATTTAAGTTCTTTTGAAATTTTTTCAAAGTCATCGATAGTCACATAAAATCTAATAAAATCTGCGATTTTAATACAACTTCTTGTGTTTGTGACACTTATTAATGACTTTTATTTTGGACTTTATGAGAGGGAATAAAAGTTTTGCTTGTTTCGCAACACTCGAAAATCCAGTTGTATAATTTGAAATTTTCCCTATCCTCTGTTAAAAGCATCATAATCTGTTTCTAATATTTCTTAATAGATTATTGATGAAGAAAAGCTGCTAAATGAATTCGACAGTAATTTCAAAAACGATCTTCATAAAATTTACAATGAATGCTATGAAAATCACGTAAAATCAGCTGCTTCTAACTCTTCATTGGATAAACCAGCTAAATCAATCCGACAATGGCTAACCTATTTCAATCAGAATTGCATACCAACAGTTGCCATTTGGTCGAACTTATTAATGGGTATACTTATTTTTATTCTAAGTATTACTTATTTAAAGCTTTATAATATCCGTTAGGTAATCTATCACGTCATATAACATCATCAGCTCAGGCATTCGACAATTTACTTCTAAATACACATGATCAAAGAACAAATGCTATATCGGAACGACGTATGTGCATTGTTAAACGAACACAGCTTGGTATGAAATTTGAAATTATTATGATAATAAATAAAATATACTTTGTTAAATATCCTAAGGTACTCAAACTTATATGCGTTCGGATGTTGTTTTGCTAATACTTATTCAAGATATGTTAAGAATGACTGAAAATTTCGCTATTTCATACATGGCTACAACAACAGAAGATACTTATAATGAAGTTCATCAACAAAAACTAAAAGAATTGCAAGAAAACTGGAGAAAAAAGAATCGCCGTGGATCTGGATTTTACACTAAGAAACCCGAAACATCGATAATGAACGGTTTGAAGTATACACTAATTGCATCTTCAACAAAAGTCAATGATGGTCTTTCAATACCCAACCTACATGTTCCAAATTGGTTAAATGTTGTAATTGGAGTATTAATTTCGATTAAATCAATTCGTGAATCACTTCCTTTATCATTAACAATATCAACACCTTTTCTTAATGACATATTATGTTTTATTGATAAATGGGTAACTTCCTTAAATTCAAACAAATTACGAAAACAAATCATTGTGGAACAAATGCATATATCAAATACTAAATTTCAAATACCAACTGATGTTCCAATTGATGTGAATGATCAATTAAACTTTATACTTCATCAGATTCTTCTTCGAATTATTGATTGCTCAATACCTGCAATTAAAATTTATTCTTGTATATCTTGTAAATTTACTTTACGTACCAGATTTAACATAAATTATATTCCGATCAACATGATCGAAGGTCAATTTCAACTTCGTCATCAATTACACAATTACTTCAATAGTTGCTTATCCGATCATTTATGTAGCAAATGCTCAATGAGCATGTCTCGTCAAATAAAACTACTTGAATGTAGAGATATCAATAATGTCTTGATTTAAAAAAAATATATTAGTTATATTTGATTATTTATTTTAGGTCCATCTGTAATTATTCTGTCCATTGATCATGTTAACATTTCACCAACGATTTTACGTAAGCCACCTAGCTCAATTTTTTTTCAGTCATTTTTGGAAGATTTTAACATTGGCTGTTCATCGTCCAGCATATATGACATCGTTGGATTTGTATCTATTCTTCCAAATGCAGAAAAAAGATTAATCTTAGCTACAAAAATTAAAGAAAGATGGTCTATTACTTCAATGAAAAAACTCATCGGAACTGGAGAAAAATTATCCAAATTATTTGCTCATAGCCGATTAATTATTTTGGAACGTGTTCGAATGTGCGATAGCAATTTTACTTATGCTATCGCACAATGTTGTTCCTACATTTTTAATGACATTGAAGAAAATGATCTTAAAATATGCAAGACTTTGAGTGATGCTGTAAAAATGATTGAAAACAAGCCGACACTTAGTCATCTATGTTCACTTTTATCTTCTCATTACACAACACATTATCAATGTCTATATTGCCAGTGTACACCAAGTTCATTATCAATTACAAATAAGTGCATATCGATTTTCCATAAAAATACCGAACATTCATCAGTATATGCTTCTCCACTAACACTGACAAATATGACAGAACTTTACTGTTCTGTCTGTAACAAGAAAAGTGAAAATGTTATTCTACCAATAAAGAATCAAGTTCATCACCAATATCCATTAATTCTTATGTATTACTCAACACAAACGACTCTTCATGCCGTATCAGATCTTCATATTGAATTCATTGATGATAGTTCACAATGCAAATACACATATCGACCTTCATCTGTTTTATTGATCGATGAATATAATGCTTTATCTGTGGTACAACTTGAAAATCTTTTAGTCTTTTGTAAAAGTCCTTACAAAACAGCAACTAAATTACCTACTGATAGAATTAATGAATTATTTTATACAGCGAAAAAAATAGTAATCTTTCTAAAACAGGTAAAAAGAAATGAGAAATACAACACTAAATTTTCCAAATATTTGTTTTGCTAGTCTTAGAACAATAGTTTAACTCTTCAACAGGACACTGTAACACATTCAGACTTGTGTAGATTTGTAATTTGAGTTTCTTTTCAGAATAAACAGTAGTACAAGCAAAATAACTGTGACATTAAAATTCAAAATATCGTATAAAAGGTGACCAAAAAATTTGGTGCTTCATAGAAAAATTGCTTTTTCCTTCATATTAATAATTCAATAATCGCTCATATTTAGACATATAACGCAACCCAACTAGATGACTATTTTGTCAACATTTTCAAGATTACAGTCTGAGAAATAGCAAAGATCCATAACCTATATTTGTAAGAAGATTTTTTTATAGGACTTGACAAAGTGACATATGCTGTATGATTAATTGTCATATTTGCATCTTATTTCATAAATTCTAATATGTGCTATAGAAAAAAATTGAATATACCATAGGATGTAACATAAAAAGTTCCTCAAACTACTTACAAAGTAAAGCAAATTCTTATTGCATATTTTTTTCTTTTCATAAAACGCAAAATTCAGTAATTTTCGACATTTCAAGGACAACGAATTCTTCGCGTACAAAAAATCATCTTCTTCACAGTATTGAATACTAGTTGGTTGGCTTTTTACTGTTTTTTTTTTGAAAAAGTATACAATTAGAATTTACTTTGCTTTGTAGCTTGTGGAGCTTTTCATACTATATCTTATGCTGTATTCTGTTTTTTCCTATAATGCGTATTAGAATTTTCGAAATACGATGTAAAAATGGCAATCAATCATACAACATATGTTACTTTATCACTTCCTACAAAATAATCTTCTTACAATTATATGTTAGAGATCTTTATTATACCTTAGACTATACTGTTGAAAATTTAGGATATTATTCATCTATTTGGATATATATGGATGGATTTCTTACAGATAGTATCGGTTAAACTGGAATTGATCATAACGCTTGATCACTTCTTTAATTTCATAGTTTCAAAGTATTCCTTATACTTTTTAACCACTTCAGTTCAATAATCACTCCTTATCAAAAGTTACTGAGGTAGCAGTCACACTCTTTACTTTTTCAAACTGACAGAAATAAAATGAAAAGACATCAGCAGCAAAAATAGTTTTTTTAATAAAAACTTTCTTTCAATTTTAGTCAACAAAAACAACAATATCCACACCATTTCTACTGAAATCTCCTCTACCTGTTCAACTTGTCAATAAATCAACTGGTGTAAGTAAAGACTCTTTAAATCTCTGATATTTATATATAGAATTTTTTTCTTTAGAAATCATTGTTTGGATCAATTCGATCTCTAAAAATTTCGCACAACAATCGACTAAACAAAAACTGAACAAACTCACTCATAGGACAAAATAACTTTTTCGTTGAAAGTTTTTTATTTCCATTAGAGTTGATTTATCTGTTTCTCAAAACACTTGTTTTACATTATTTTTTTATGTGCCTTGCGCGTTATTTCATAACACTAATCATAATTGTATAATAAAATTAAAGATACTTTCTAAAAAGACAATTATTTAGCTTTATAAGACAATTGGAAAACATAACTTCTTTTGATGTACTTATTTTACAAAAGCTATAAACTATGAATCTGTTTTAGTTTAAAAAAATGCACTATATGTATTCTAACACAGAACAATTACTATCATTCAGCGCCCTCTAATAAATTTGTCTTCCATCGAGAGGATATGTACAATGTAGTTCAATGGCGATTTTTGTGTGTACGTGCAAGTGTGTGTAGCTTATCTTAACCTCCACTCTATAAGGCTCTAACTTTTATGGTAGATGTCAGAAGGGTGGAAATGCAGAATGGTGAAAGAAAAACTTTGGACTTCCGAAAGGAACGCGAGATATTGAATTTTTACTGAAATTTCCCGTTTTTTTGCGGTTTTTACCTACAGTTTTGTAACATTTTTTTCAACAAAACTCAGTGGAATTTTGTTTTTATGGCTAATTTTTTATCCTGAATTCAACTGTATTGTTAGAAATGATCTCCGATTTGATTCAGGACTGACAAAACTACCCATGTAAACATTTTTGACGAAACATCAGATTAAAATCCATTATTTGCTAAAAAATTGATTTTTAGTCGATTATAATGGTGCTATTTTAATCTGATTTTGAAGCGTTAAAGTCGGACTTCATTTCAAGTTAAATTCTTTAATCAATTTAAACCGATGGTTTATCAGTCAGTTCACGTAAGAGTCGATGGCCCGTATTCAATCGAGGTTTTCGGATTGCCCTCAATTTTTTTAATGTTATTGAGGGAAGAATTTGATGAATTTTAGCGCAAATCGCATCTAAAAATATTGCGCTGCTAAGCTTTTATGACGGTTTCACTCACAGGCTTAAAAATCAGGGTACCTCTCGGAAGCAGTTTAGGTGGCATCATACCTCAAGAAGGATTCATCCGATCTAGCGGAATTTTAGACGATGAATATACTACACGAAATGGTTACTTGAGCAGAAAATTCAGCTCTCTAGCTAGTTCTTATCTCTCAGGAGATCTGCCACGAAGTTAAAGCTTTCAGTAAAATAACGACTACAGCATAGGTGAATTCTCCAATGAATGAGTCCTGCAGAAATCGGGCTCATGTCATTTTATTGCACAAATTGGGCATCACAAAGTTATGTCAAGGGTGTGTGTGGGTGTGGGTGTGGGTGTAGGTGTGGGTGTGGGTGTGGGTGTGGGTGTGGGTGTGGGTGTGGGTGTGGGTGTGGGTGTGGGTGNCTTTAGAGACTCATCAATTATCTATAGGATCGCTATAGCACTCTTGATTCTATCTATAGTACTTAAAAAAGTATAAAGGATATAACATAATAAAAAAAAAAAGTATAGAAAAAAATGCGGAAAAAGGACGTAAACGTAAAATATAAAAGAAGAGTATCGAAATTTTTTTATCGTTTCCGAGAGAAACGATAAACCGGATGGACTCGAAGATTTTTATACTACTAGTTGAATTAAAAGAATCGTAGAATAACTTCTTAAAAATCGATTAATAACTAGCTTTACTTACTCAGTTAAAATACGTGCTTGGTTTTTATAAATAATGATAAAATTGTCCTCCTTATGTTAATTTTATTATATGATCGCATTTAGATGTTGAATAACGTCTTCTTCAGGCAATAGTTAAAGTACTATTATTATGTTTATCTATTTTTTTTTTATATGTAAATCATATGATCTTTGTCAAACTGACGAAAGAACGAAAAAAGAAGAAACGAAAAGAAACAATATTCTGCTCGTTTCTTCTTTTTTCGCTCTTTGCACATTTTGGCAGAGATCATATGATTTACATATGAAAAAAAAATTAGATAAACATAATAATAGTACTTTAACTATTGTCTGAAGAAGACGTTATTCAACATCAAAATGTGATCATATAATAATATTAAAATAAGGAAGACAGTTTTATTACTATTGATAAACATTAATGACCTTCCTAAAAATAAAATATTAAACGTATTTGATTTCTAGATTAATATTCTACAAATAATCATATGATAACAACATAAAATGTGGCCTCTTTGTAAATAGAAAATCTTTTGTAAATAATTTCTTGATAACGATTTATAAGCATCACTAAAAATTCTTTCATTTGATCGACTTTTGTGCAAAAATCTAAAGTAACCTGCATTTTGAAAGAGTTCTTTTTATAAAAAAAACAGCATCGAATTATTTGGTTCTGTTTTTTCTCTATGCACAAATGATAAATTCAATGAAGTTTAAGAAAGCATTGATTACTATATTACATATTCTATCATTTAATTAATTTTAATATATGTTTTTGAAACGATAATATCTAAAATGCAATTGTCATAGTTTTCGTTTGTGCAATTAACTTTTATAGAAGACTTAACTCCTGTTTTCGAGTTTTTAAGAGACATGTTATAATTTCTCTTTCTAATCAATACTGGTATCAAAACTATTACTGTATTTTAGAAGCTTGTAAGAAATTAGCATCAGTAGTATCAGGTGTATCAATTGACGAAATATTTGAAGATACACTTCCTCAAAAGCACAATCTTCGTTTAAATGAAACTGAACTTGCCAAAATGAATCGATTTCGAGAACAAGAACTAAAAAGACAATCTGATCGTAAAATGCAAATTATGGGATTAACATCTGATCCATCTCTTTTACGAAAAAAAACTTCGAAAAATGCAAATACGTCTACTGCCATTAACAATATAAATGGAAATGAATCTTACCGAGAGGAAAAAAAAATTGAAACATACAGCAAGGTTAATATTGAATATCTGAATTTACTTCTACCTCATATCAAACATTACAATTCAGCTGGTGGTCTATGCACTCGATCACGCTACTTTGGAAAAAATGTATCGAAAGGAACTTCTCTTCTTGTAAGATGTATTTTAAAATGTAATGGTACTATTTGTAAATTTAAATGTACTGTACACGTCATGAACAATGGTCATTGTTTCATAATTGCAATAAATCCAAAAATTTCTCATAATATAAGTGAACGAATAAGTCGTCCTATTCGTGGATCTCGGCGACAAGCAATCATTGACAAGTTTAAAGCAGGTGCTTCAGTTTATCGATTACACGCTCAATATGATAAAGAACGAACCGAAAATGAAAGAAAAGGTTTCAATTACGATTACACAGGAAAATCAAGAAAAATATTTAAAAATATGAAAGCTGAAGCAACTGCTCAATCTTTACTTGCACGAGATATCACATTAGGTATTTTACAACTTCATGATCAATTAATTGATGAAATTAATAATGATGGAACGATCAAAGGTGCAATACAACTTGTTCAACTTAGACCATTTTGTATTGTGGCATTTACTGAAGCTTCAATACGTTTGGATGATGTTATCGTCAGTCAACCAGAAACGGTTTTATCATGGGACGCCACTGGTGGTGTAATCAAAAATACAACATCAAGACAGTGTCTTTACTATGAATTAACAGTATCTCATTCAAATATCGTAAATGAAGACAGTTTAATTCCATTAACTTTCATGCTGTCGGAATCTCAATCACTCCTTACTGTTATTAATTGGTTAAAAACATTTAAAGAATTCTATAAAAAAGTACGTTTAACTTTTTAGCTTGATTATCTCAATTTATTATAGCTATTTTAGATGAAATTTCTTGCTTAAGTCCCATCTAAAAATAGATTCGAACGAAAGAATAACTGAGAGATGTAGATATTCATGCCATGCGATTTCAAGGTTGCAGTTGATGTGAAGAATATTGTTCCATATAATATTATATATAATGATTCATCTGTTTAACAGCTAGTATCAGTTCTTTCTTTCTTCAGTTGTCTTTAATAATTTAATTAGAAAAAAAGCAATTGTAATATGTTGCATATTTTGTACGATGAATCGACTTATTTGCATAATGACAAAGCTGATTATTATTAAGTTTACTAGGCGTGCTCTATTCTAACCTGACATTGTACCTTTTGTCGAAATGATTCTTGAACGATCGATGCTACAAATCTCACTTCTGAAACCAGATTGCTCTCATTAATAAATTGATGAACATAGACACTTTGTATCACATATTAAATTGAACTGTACTAATATACTTAAACAATACACAATTCTTATATTTCAGGTATTGCCTCATAAGAAGGATTCATTTCCTAGACTAGCAGTAATTTTATCGGACCGTGCTCAAATTTTTCTTCAAGCTGCTCTTCACATATTCAATGAAGAAAATTATCAACAATTCCTTGCACGTGCTTATCGTATTGTTACCAATCAACCTATTGAAAATGACTTATCGAAAACTAATATGGATGTGGGTGTGGGTGTGAGTGTGGGTGTGGGTGCGGGTGTGGGTGTAGGTGTGGGTGTGGGTGTGGGTGTGGGTGTCGGTGTGGGTGTGGGTGTCGGTGTGGGTGCGGGTGTGGGTGTAGGTGTTGGTGTGGGTATGGGTGTGGGTGTGGGTGTGGGTGTGGGTGTGGGTATGGGTGTGGGTGTGAGTGTGGGTGTGGGTGTGAGTGTGGGTGTGGGTGTGAGTGTGGGTGGATGAAGGAAAGACACCCACACACCCACACCCACACCACGCTGGCCAGATCTTCTGATTTTTCAGAAATTTTCTGATTTTGAACACTTTTTCCGATGACTTTCTGATTTCTGATTTTTCTGATTTTCATTTCTGCTGTTTCAAACGTCCTAGTTCGTTCTCATATGAATGCCCGAATTATTACTATTGATAGGGTCAAGCCGGCAAGATCTTCTGATTTTTCAGAAATTTTCTGAGTTTGAACACTTTTCTGATTGCTTTCGCTTTCTGATTTGTTTTCTGATTTTGATCGGGAAATTTTCTGATTATTTTCTGATTTTTGAATTTTTTTTTCTGATTTTGAATTTTTTCACCTGGCCACCCTGACCCACACTTACACCCACCCACACCCACTCACACCCACCCACATCCACCCACACCCACACCCACATCCACACCCACATCCGTATCCACATCCCTACCCACAGCCACCCACACCCCCCACCCACATCCACACCCTCAGTCTCGCTTCATCTGAATATTTATTCTGTGATGTTTTTCAAGTGTAAAAACTCAACTGATGATAGTCAACTAAGTGCGCCATTCTCCGATCGCTTCTTAGTCTGTTTCTGTGCAAATGAAAGCAGCTTCGCCACTGTACCCAATACAACACATTGTTATCCGCGAAGAGCATAGAAAAAAAATACGTGCTTCGTTTTACTTCTATTGCTTTCTGTGGATTAGATGACTCATACAATGTATCATATTTCAACGCAAAACGTCACTAGGAAGAAAACGGCTCTTATATGCGTAGAACTATTTCTATCAAAATAAGACGTCTTCTATTATTCAATGACGCAGTGCCATGAATCACTTCCTAAAACGTCCCGTATAAGGAAAGGATTTAGTCTCGATATTACTTTCGATATTGCGCACATTCTCCACTATAAAGAGAGTAAACTATCCTGACGCAACACATCAGAATCGAAAAGCAACAACTTCTCAAGTCTCATACCAGGTAAAAAGGCTTTTGAAACTAGTGTACCAGGTTTTTATGCAGAATCTATCTGAAAAAAACCACATTCATGTCTGTGGTCGTGAATAAAGTGCTTAAAATTTGGTTGTGACGAGCTAATAGAAGTTCCATTTTTTGAAAGAAAAGTTATATCGCAGATAACATCACCATGCATCGCAGCATTCATAACTGATCTCTTGATAAAAACTTGATCTGCCATAATCAGAATTGGCAAAATACGAATCCGAGGTCAGTTTTTTTATTATTTCGTCATAATTATGGCTAGTCAATTTTTATTTTTTTTAAGTCGATCAAAAGTAGCAGAAGCTGGGAAATCTGAGTCTGGAGTCCGAGTTTTGGATGATGGTTCTCTAGTTTTTTCAAAAACTCTTCCATAAGGAAAATGACAAATTGTGTTTAAGGATTTAAATAGGTATTTGGTCGAAATCTTAGGTGAGAACTTCGTAGTGCGCTAAAGTATGCTGTTTACGAAAAAATGCGTAGGCATTATACACACGAGCACTATGTATGAAGCAGCGCCCCGAAGGGACAGTGATGAACGACCCGAATATTATCTTTGAACTGCACAAGACAGTGACTTTTGTAGAAAGTTATGGGATAGCTCGGGCTCAAGCCCAAACAGTGTTCGCTCAGATTCCATTGTTGCAGCGGGCTCCTAGCCCATTCAATCACTTCAAAAATACTTCCAGTCCACAATCCTCGGAAAACTCCTCTTGAAAGATCCCTTTTGAAAAATATTTTTCACCAATGGATCGACTTCGCTCGAGCTTCTTCTGAAAAATATTTGATAAGTCTCATAAGCAATCGAGTTATAAATACTGAGCAAAGCCAATGAAAGACTCTCTCCACTGCCTGAAGTATAGTGAAATGCTTTGATCCATGTATTCAGATAATACTTCTTTCATCATGGCAGAAAATTCATCAACATCTTCGATTTTGAATCTTAAACTCGAACAGAAGTCTATAAAGACAAACATATACGAAGTTTCCTTTGATATCTAGCTGATGGCTGTTTCTATTTGTTTAGAATAACTAACTTTACACGTTCTCAGTTTTTATTGTTGCAATTCATGAAGCAATTCCTTACAATAGTATTACTTTTATCCATAATCTGTTATCAAGGAGTTGAGAATCGTCGAGACGTATGTTGGCAGCTACCATGTTGGATACGTTGTAAATCGGGTACTCAAGTATGCTGGAATTTACCATGTTGGAATCGCTGTGGATCGATCGCGGAAATATGTTGGAATCTTCCTTGCTGGTTCACCATTCCAGAGTAGATTATAGGCAAATGCCATCTCATTTGCACATAGCCGACAACCAAACTTTGATTGTCTTCTTTTTTTGCAGATACTTTAAATACAACGGGTATTCATCTTGCGAATGATTTACTATTCAATACAATGCATGCCTATTATCATCTTCCAATTTTGTTGTGAGCTTTTCTTCAGTGTTTCGTGCTACCTTCATTTGTTGTGCTGTATTGCGTGTGTGTTTATGTGATTTTTTAAAGACAAAAACAGCTGGTCCGTCGTGACTGTTAATACGTTTTCTCCTATCTATCTTGATAGACTGAAATGAAATTTGAGTAGAATAATTGCTCAGGTCATTCGTGCTCGATTGGTTCCTTTACGTTCCGGTGTGGCAGGGGCGGATTGAGAATTTTTCGAAGGTACTCACGGAATGAATTACGATCCTAAACTAGCCGCAAATATATATAATTTTTTTTATCAAATGCCGACATTTTCTGCCAAAGTGGCTCAGGGTGTCCATCGGTAGCCAAGATTGAGGGGAGTCAAAAAAATGTCACACCACAACTAGTGTCAATTTTTTCCTTCAGTCTAAAATACAATAATTCTTCGCGAAGCAAAAACTTTTTGCAGCCATAAAATAAATCAACTTTACGGTGTGTTTTTTTAGAAAAACGTTCTCGTACCAAATTCAAAAGAGTTTCTCAACACTTTCGCCGCCGAAGGTGGCCACGTTGACGGTGCTTTTTTCAATGAAGCTCTTTCAGAAGAAAAAACGAGTTTTTTAGCGAAAGAAAGTCAAAGTTTAGAGTTTTTTTCAAAAGAAGACGGCTAGGGTGCTGCTACTACAGGGTGCGGCAAAAGTTCTGATACAAAGTTTTATAAGCCGTATTTCTATATTCCATCATTATGAGAGATAATTAGTCTAGTGTATAGGATACACATGCGTGTCTACTATCTCGCTTTACAATATTATTTCGCGGCTCGCTTGTTTTAGATTTTTCGGGATCATGCAATCAGATCGACTGTTTGTACAAAAGTATTTTCAACGTGGATTATGCGGTGGACAAATTTTTCAATATGTGGACGATTCAATTGCCAGAATCGCACAAGCAGTTGAAGCAGTCTAAAAAAGACGTTCCGCAATGTTTCTCTGGAAATGCGCAAAACGTCGAGTTTTTGCATTTCAGTAAACGGCACTGTAGTAGAGCAATACTTGTGAACTTTGTTCACATTAATAAAAACTGGATGACGTTACCCATGACATGAGGAAAAAGTCATCGATGAAGTATCGTGCAAAGTAAAGTTGAACCATCGGCCAGAAGTTTGGGGAATGTTGTATTTTATATTTAGGGCATGGATATTTTGTTTTAACTGTATCTGACCGATCGTGGAAAAGACATACAGGCTGATCTTAAGGGTGTGGGTGTGGGTGTAGAGAAAGTCATCACCCACTCCCACAACCAATTTGAAAATTATACTACTAAGATATTGAAAACTGTAGCAGATAGTAATAACATCGATTACAAGAATTCTTTTAATAATTCTATAACAAAACTTGAAGAAAGCATTTTTGTAGAGGATTCATTCAGCTTTATCGATTAACAAAGGAAAGATGACAAGTATTGTTTAACGAACATGTCGTATGACGAATTTTTTGTTTATTTGATTAAACTCCTTTTAACCAACAAGTGAAAACGATTTCGTGTATGGTAATTAATCATTACCTTGAACATAGGTATAGTAAAGGTTTGAATAAGGCTCAAATAAAACAGTATATTGATCTAATAGACGATCCTCAAAATAG